CGTATAGACTATACAATCAAATTTTTAAATGAAGAACAAAAAGCATGGTATGAACAAAATAAAGATGAAGTTAAGGACGACTGGACATTATTTCGTGAACGATTAAAACAAAATTCATCTAACTATAAATCAATTCGAACAACTGCTCCGTCAATTAATATTTCAACATTAAACAACACCGAAGTGGTCGTACTAGAAGATCTTATCGATGCAAAATTTGACAAATATTCAGGTGTTGGTGACGCAAGAAATTGGTTATTACAAACCATGAATCAGTTTAAGGCATGTGGTTTACGACGTGATGATCAATTTGAAGCTATACCTTTATTATTAGAGGGTGATGCTTATTTATGGTATGCTGACAACAGCGATGCGATTTTCAACTTCGAAACATTCAGCAAGTTATTTCTTCAACAATTCAAATCAACGACATCATCACCAACAAATTCTATAGTGGGTACAGGCACATTAGTGACTACAGTACCTGATCACTCATCTACATTACATTTACAACGAATCGTGGCGGATGAAATTATTAAGAAACCAACATATTTTCGTGGTTCACAAGATGATGTACACGATTGGTTGGACAAGTTAGAGCAACGTTTTACAATGGCTAATTGGAATGATGAACAAAAATTACGATATATTTCTATACATTTACAAGATGATGCATATAGGTGGTGGATGCAAACATCCACATCAATTAAAACATGGTCATCATTTATTACAGCTATTACACAAGCTTTTGGATCAACAAAGGCACAAGAAATTGCATTTGAACAATTGAAATGGTATAAACAAACAATTAATCAATCTGTTACACAATATTACGACAAGATTATGGAATTATGCAAAAAAGTCGATCCCATAATGCCTGATTCTTTGAAATTGAAATATTTAATGGCTGGAATTAAAGAATCATTGAAAACACATGTGGCATTACAAGATCCTAAAACAACGGAAACATTTTTATCATCAGCAAGGAAGATTGAAGATGTATTATCACTCACCAAAACGAATAATGAATTACCTGACAATGATATTACCATTATTAATTCAACTGGTTATCAAAATCAATTATACGATCAAGCAACATTCATCCAAGCATCAAACAATAAATTTAATAAAAAAAATTCTGGCTATGCAGACGCAACACAAGCTCGTACAACTTCTAATAGGAATACAACAGCTGGAAATAACGCAAATCGACAAAATAAATTCTCAAATTCTACAAGATCAACACAGAAATTAGGTGTTTGTTACAACTGTGGTACTCCTGGCCATTATGCCCGGGACTGTACCCGTCCCCATTTTCAATAGGGGAAGCATCGGTCGGTGGTGTTGCTTCCGAAAATTTACATCCCAATCCATCGACATTGAACACATCATTGTTATACCTCGATGTTTTTGTAAATAGTAGAAGAATGAAAGCAATGATTGATACTGGTGCTAATCGAACTTTTATTTCAATTAAAGTATTACCTACATTTTATAATAAATCATTTATTCATAGGAAACAAAAAAATGCAACATTAGCTGATGGTCATACATCGATTCCTGTTTTAGGTACATCGAATTTACGAATTGTTATGGGTGATATGTTAACATTTATTAAAGCATATGTTGTTAAAGAATTATGTGCTGATTGCATACTAGGAATGGATTTTATTAACAAGTATAAATTAATTATAAACACGGAAGAAAAAATTGTTTCACTTTATAATAATTATAAACGTACAACATTAAAATTTGATATTAATTCAAATGAAAACAAATATCCAGCACGTCTAATTAATAATATTCGGATTCCACCAAAACAGACCAGGTCTATTCCTGTTTCTATTGAATTATTATCAGCTGATGTAATATTTTGTCCATCATTTAAATTACAACAACGAACATCTCTACTCACGTTAAATTCTTCGTTAAAAGTTCACGATTATACCTCAAAGGTTTCACTTTATAATCCAACGGATTATTCATGTTCATTGCCAAAAGGCTTAATACTAGGAACAACTACTATTCCTACATTATCTTTCAAGAAAAATTCAACTATTGATTATGAATTAGTAAACACAAACATCACCAATTTAATTCGACATATTACTAGTCTTGATCGACATGAAAAAATTAAATCTATCTTTTATCAACATTCAAAATTATTTGATACTAGTAAATCTACAATTGCAACTAATGTAAAACCACATTCAATAAAAACACTTGATCATCCTCCACCAACATCAAAACCGTATTATACAACACCAAATAAACAAGAAGAAATGTACAAGATAGTACAAGAATTATTATATTTTGGTTTAATTAGACCTTCTTATTCACCATATGCTGCATCTGCTTTACTTGTACCCAAACATGATGGTAATTGGAGAATGGTGGTAGATTATAAAAAATTAAATCACATCACAATTAAAGATAGTCATCCATTACCCAAGATGGAACGAGCGATTCAAACACTAGGTGGTGGTTATAAATTCTTTTCGAAGCTTGATATGAAAAGTGGTTTTTGGCAGATTCCAATCGAAGAAGAAGATAGACATAAAACTGCATTATTACACCTGAAGGCCTTTATGAATGGAACGTTTTAGCGCAAGTCGTTTAAAGAACAGCCCACCATCATTTCAACGTGTTATGGCAGAGATATTATCTCCATGTCGTCAATTCGCATTGGTATATATTGATGATATTGTGATTTACTCTCGTTCATTTGGAGAACATCTTAAACATATTCATCAGGTGTTATCAATTTTATCGCAACATAATTTCCAATTTAATCCCTCCAAGTGCAGTATTTTTCGTCAACGAATTGATTATTTATCACATACAATATCAGAACAAGGTGTTAAACCTAATAATGAAAAAATTCAAGCAATCATTAAATTGCGGGAACCTTCCACTTTAGCGGAAGCAAATAAGTTCCTGGGTGCCATTTCATGGTACCGTAAATTTATTCCACGATTCGCATCTATAGCTGGACCTATTCACAAGGTGACAAATTTAACGAAAGCAAACAGAAAAAAATTTAGTTGGGGAGAACCACAAAAAGAAGCATTCTTACAATTGAAACAATTATTGATTACTTCTCCTTTATTTTTGGACTATCCTAATGAGAATCATTCAGCTATATTGACTACAGATGCTTCAAAAGTTGGTGTGGGAGGGACATTACAACAACACATTAATGGTGAAATCAAAAATCTTTATTATCACTCTCAAATGACATCATCTAGTCAAAGAAGATATGATCCAATTGAATTAGAAGCCTTAGCAATATGGATGTGCTTTCAACGCATGAGACCATATTTATTGGGAAGATCAATCATTATTTATACAGATCATTGTCCATTATGTAACATGATGAAGTCAACAGTAAAAAATCGAAGAGTTGATCGTATATCAATATTATTACAAGAATTTAATATTGAAAAGATCATCCATATTAAAGGTCAACACAATTGCTTAGCTGATTACATATCCCGTCATCCAATTCCAAGAGAAGAAGAAATATTTGGTGAAGATTATGGTATTGCTAAACGTGATAAAAGGGAACTGACTGTTATGGGTCGTGTTCCTGATGAAGTTCCTCCACTAGCTGGAGCTATTATAACAAGATCTAAAGCAAAACAATTAAAATTAAAACAAGATCAAGATTCAACAACAACACCAACAGATAGAAATAAGATAACATTACCACCAATAGGAGAAGAAACTGATCGAATGAAAGAAAATCCATCACAAATTATTGCAAAAAATACACTGGATATAGAACTATTAAAAATTGAACAAGGAAAAGATTCGGATATTCAACACACAATTGCAGAAGTTATGAAAAATCCAATTAAAAGTACTTATGAATTCAAAGATGGTTTATTATATAAGTTAATGGTTATGCGTGAAGGTTGTAATACGAAGAAAAAATTAATTTATTTGCCTTCATCTTTGATTAATGATCTTTTACAAGTTTATCATAGTGATCCTCTTAGTGGTCATTTTGGAGTTCAACGAACATATTTGAAGATTAAAAATAGGTATTGGTGGCCAAATATGAAACAATCAATCATTCAACACATACAATCATGTTTACCGTGCCAGCAATATAATATCAGTAGAGCAAAGAAACCTGGTCGATTACAACCAATTCCACCACCTGAAGGACCATTTCAATTAATCGGTATGGATTATTGTGGTCCATTTAAACAAACTCCACGTGGTCATCAATATGTACTATGTCTTACGGATTATTTCACAAGATGGGTAGTTGCTGCTGCTGTACCTGATTCTTCAGCTCAGACCACTGCTGAAGCATTATTCAATGAATATATTTGCAAGTATGGGGTACCGGCAGTAATACTATCCGATCAAGGAACGCACTTCCACAATCAATTAATGGAAGCCATGTCGAAGTTGATTGGATACAATCATACTTATTCAATCACCTACCATCCTCAATCAAATGGAATGATAGAAAGGTTCAACGCAACATTTGTACCACAAATTGCCAAACTTCAAGATAAAGAAAATAACAATTGGGATGAATTCTTAGCACCAGTAGTATTTGCGTATAACACTGGATGCCATTCAACAACAAATTATTCACCAATCCAATTATTATTTGGCAGAGAACCAAGGTTACCTACTGATGGACAAATATCTTCATTTACATTTCATAAACCAAATGATTATTATGAACAATTAAAGAAAAGTATGAAATTGATACATACACATGCTCGTGAAAATATTATTCGTAGACAACATCAATATAAAACTCAATATGATAAACGACGTCCTGATCCTCATTATGCAATTAATGATCGTGTTTTAATTAGAAGACATGGAATAAAAAATAAATTAGAACCGAAATATTCAATTACACCTCATGAAGAATCAAACAGCTATAGAGAATTATTTTGCATAAAAGAATGTTTATTTAAAAAGTATCTCTTTTGAGAAGCTACGAGTTTCCACTACTAAATACACAGTAGTACGATCATGTGTTGTTCAATTTTGCCAAATTTTACCCTTAATACCACAAATGTAAAGCGGGATATCAGAAATGATAATTATTTTTTGTAGTTGTACGTCTCTCAAAACGATCGAAGAATGAAAAACACGACAGTCATAAATAGCTTGACAAAATAACATAAAAACCAAAACGAAATAAATTTTATTTCTCATAGACATGTTCCTTTTCACTCGTCCCGAATATGATGACGTGATACGTGAATAGTCCCTAACGAGGAGACATCATTTGTCATCTCCTCAGGTGCACTTGGGCAATGCTTAGTATCAGAAATTCATGGCATGCCAAAACTGGATGCTATATACATCTTTTGTGGCAACAAGCAACGTCACCAAGAATGGGCTAAAAATTGGCCCAAAATTAAAGGTGTGCATACATCAATCAAGCACATCTGTGAAAAACTGGCAGTAGCCGTCAAACAATGCAATCAAGATCAAGTAACAGTCAGTATTATAAGCGTGAATGAAGGAGGTGCTAGCGAAAATCTCAATCAGCTAGAACCTTCCTTCATGTACACTCAAATATTCAAGGAAATACTCCTTGACATGGAACATGGTCAAAAAGCCATTAAAGACTTGGTCACATATTGCCAAGAACAATACAAGGACAATATCAAAGAACTCAAGTTGATCGATGAATTTCAACGTAATTATCATCCAACATTGGCGTTATGGTGGTATACACGCCAATGTTTTACCTTCAAAATGCTCAATCGCGCATTAAGAACATTGGATGGCGACATTATCATGCGAATGGGATTTTTCCTGTGTGATGTTCATCGACAAATTGAAGATTTACACAGCAAACAGGTCCGTCAGTATCATGGAAAGTCGTTTCTAGTTTATAGGGGTCAAGGATTATTGATAAGCGACTTCGAAAAACTTGCAAAAAGCAAAGGTGGTCTCATATCATTTAATACTTTCTTATCAACCAGTACAAAACGAGATATTTCCCTCGGCTTTGCTAGAGATGCCTTAGGAACAACCGATATGGCCGGCATCCTCTTTCAAATGACAATAGATCCTACTGTCTCATCAACTCCTTTCGCCTCCATTCAGGAGGTGAGTTATTACAAGGACGAAGAGGAAATTCTCTTCTCCATGCATACAGTTTTTCGAATTAGTGAAATTCGAAAAATTGACAAAAATCGTCCACTTTATGAAGTGGATCTTAAACTTACGTCGGATGATGACCAACAACTTCGTCGATTAACCGACCGTATACGAGAAGAATCATCAAGTAGCACTGGATGGTATCGCATGGGTAAATTGTTACTCAAAATAGGTCAATTTGATAAGGCCGAAGAACTCTACATGGCACTACTAGAACAGACATCCAGCGACAGTAATAAAGCATATATCTATAACGAACTTGGGCGGGTGAGAGACGACCAAGGGCAATATACTGAAGCAGTTTCATTTTACGAAAAGTCTCTCGAAATCTATCGAAGAACTCTTCTGGAAGATCATCCTTCATTGGCTACTTCCTACAACAACATCGGTGCAATGTATAAGAACATGGGTGACTACTCGAAAGCACTTGAATTTTACGAAAAAGCACATCAAATCTACGAAAAAGCTCTGCCTCCAAATCATCCCAATTTGGCTATTTCCTACGGCAACATCGGTCAAGTGTATAACAACTTGGGTGACTACTCGAAAGCACTTGAATTTTACGAAAAATCACATAAAATCTACGAAAAAGCTCTGCCTCCGAATCATCCTTCATTGGCTACTTCCTACAATAACATCGGTCAGGTGTATAACAACATGGGTGACTACGCAAAAGCACTTGAATTTTACGAAAAAGCACATAA